ATAATTCGGTCAATTTACCAATATACCCTAAGCAGCCGGGCATTTCTTGTGCAGTATATTTACGAATTTTCTGTTCTACCGGTCTGTTATTGAATGTTGTTGGTTAAAAGGGTGTCCATAGGATCGTTAGACACACGAGGCTGTGTACACGCCTGGGGTCAATTGGGCGTCTTGATCATTATGAACATTGGCCTTTAAATAAAGTTCTCTCTATTAAAACTGCCTCATATGGAAAGGAGGCAAATGATTTATATAAACAAAAAACTACATCATGTCAATTGCACATGTTGTGTTACTAGCTAAAAACACGAGACATCAACATGTATCTAGTCACGCGGCGAATAATTTTATTTATTTATTTAATCAGTCTTTATCCGACTTCCATGACGGCGCTGCGAACCGTTGTTGAAATGTTGTGACTGTCTTAAAGTTCCTGTCCAACGGAAAGGAATATTTGATAACTTTGGAGACGCCTCCACTGTTTTATGAAGTTACCACTTGAATCCTCAAACCTTTAAAATATTTCGCCGCCTCTTGTCAGCAATCGTTGTTTTCTTTGCTTCTTGTCATATCTTCCATAAAAAAAAAATAGGTGAAGGAATTAGTAGAATCGATAAATTCCCTTTCAACTTGTTCCAACTGTGTATTATCCGCTCACTAAACCAAGAAAGAAGGCTTCAATTATACAGCTGTTGATAATCTGCGTGTCTAGCTTCCATACATGTCCTCTCGAGGCTTTGCTATTCAATTTGAACTTTCTCTCTATTAAATTGATACCTCTTGAGGTATTTTCAGTGTCGGAATCATGTGTCTTCTATTTCTTCTTTCGCCAAACACCATTTTTGTTTAATCTCCTCTGTCTGTCCCTCTCAGTCTACACAATTATATGATGAATCTTGTAAGAAACCTCTATACTTGATCTGTTTCATTGTGTTTGAGGAGGCCGGTATATGCTAGCGCTGTATGAGCTGACACTGGTCTGGCATACGTTGCAATGTTTTACAAGCATACTTTTCTTGGTTCCTAATACTTGTCGTGATGTTATAAAATCAAGAGTTTATGTTTCTGTGACTGAATTTTAGGTGTTCCTCTGGTGATAGACTCGGTCATATGTATTCTCTCATAGAATTTTGTGTCCTCTGTAGTCCTTTAGTCCTATCGCTCACAGCGTGAGTATACTGAATGGTGCACTACATATTATAACTCACAGGATAGTGTGAAGGGGCACAACAAACTACCGCTCACAAGATGAGTATGACTTGCACAATACACTAACTGCTGGAGGCAACATTCAATGTCTACTGTACTCCTCTTTCCCTGCCACAAATATGTTGCTCTATAACACTATGTTGGTTTCTTTCGGTCTCTTTTTAACCATGTTCTTCTCCTCATAAATGAAGTGAAACTTAGACAATAAAACTCCATAGACAATAAGATCACAGTAACGTTATATATCAACGAGGAGGCCCAGGCCCAGGACGCTGGTTCGATCGCAAAGTCCTGCTGCTAGTAACCATTTCTTCGATCAGCAAGTAAAATGAGACTTTCTTAAGTCTCCAATAGCAGTCTTCGATCATCGTGATTTCTATTAACTTTGTATCAACAGTGCACAGTGGCTTAATGAAGTCTAGTTCTGCCACTATGTCATTTTGTTATTAAATTAGATTTTTGGAAAATAAAATGAGCTAAGGATCTTTTATACAGCTCCACAAATGATCAATCTTATTCCCTATTTGCAAATTGTTCTCTTTCCTTCTGTTTCTCCCCTTCCTCTTAGTTACGTGATACACTAAGCATTCCACTCAATCTCACTGCTTGTATGATGTCGGTTATTCAAACGTCAAGATCATTTAATACGTTTGCCAGACAGGACTTGTCTGTCGTTAACCCGCATACACGAGCCCTGTGTTTGTGGTTTTGTGTAATTAAGTGGCTCAATTCAGCTACATTTTTCCTTGAATAATGGAATGATGTTTACATTTGTAACCGGTGTTCGACACTAGATGTATTCAGCAACGGGATGCGAACCTTTGCATGTAGTGTCCACTCACCAGTTCATTCATTCGTTCATAATACAAACCGAGATCCAGTCTGGTAACATTGCCTTTGTCTCTCACCAAGTACATAGCGCTGGTTCTCATTTCTCTTTCACTGTAGGTGATGCTCTCTCTCTCTCTCTCTCTCTCTCTCAAATTTGCTGGTCTTAATTACCTTAAAGGACCTTTTGGGAAATTTTTTTTCCTCTCAGTATTAATGTACGTCCTGTCAGTGATGCGTCTTAATACCTGACCGTACATATGGTTTGCCATATTATTAAGATGAGTAGTAATCTGGGTTGGTCCTTAGATTTGGTGACGATGTTGTTCGTGTTATTTCTCTGTTGCTCTTCTAATGCGCATCTCACCGTTCAATGTTCTGCTGCTTCTCTTAATGCGTGTGCGTGCGCGCGCGCGCGTGTGTGTGTGTGTGTGTGTGTGTGTGTGTGTGTGTGTGTGTGTGTGTGTGTGTGTGTGTGTGTGTGTGTGTGTGTACTCGCCTAATTGTACTCACCTAATTGTGCATGCGGAGGTTGAGATTTGGCTCTTTGGTCCCGCCTCTCAACTGTCAATCAACTGGTGTACAGATTCCTGAGCCTACTGGGCTCTATCATATCTACATTTGAAACTGTATGGAGTCAGCCTCCACCACATCACTGCCTAGTGCATTCCATTTATTAACTACTCTGACACTGAAAAAATTCTTTCTAACATCTCTGCGACTCATCTGGGAACTAAGTTTCCACCTGTGTCCCCTTGTTCGTGTCCCACCCGTGCTGAAGAGTTTGTCTTTGTCCACCCTGTCAATTCCCCTGAGAATTTTGTAGGTGGTTATCATGTCTCCCCTTACTCTTCTGTTTTCCAGGGATGTGAGGTTCAGCTCCTTTAGCCTTTCCTCGTAGCTCAATCCTCTCAGTTCCGGGACGAGCCTGGTGGCATACCGCTGAATCTTCTCTAACTTTGTCTTGTGTTTAAGTATGGACTCCAGGCTGGAGCTGCATACTCCAGGATTGGTCTTACATAAGTGGTATACAGGGTTCTGAAAGATTCCTTACACAAGTTTCTGAAGGCAGTTCTTATGTTGGCCAGTCTAGCATATGCTGCTGCTGATGATTGTGTGTGTGTGTGTGTGTGTGTGTGTGTGTGTGTGTGTGTGTGTGTGTGTGTGTACTCACCTATTTGTACTCACCTATTTGTGTTTGCGGGGGTTGAGCTATGGCTCTTTGGTCCCGCCTCTCAACTGTCAATCAACTGGTGTACAGATTCCTGAGCCTATTGGGCTCTATCGTATCTACATTTGAAACTGTGTATGGAGTCAGCCTCCACCACATCGCTGCCTAATGCATTCCATCCGTTAACTACTCTGACACTGAAAAAGTTCCTTCTAACGTCCCTGTGGCTCATGTGGGTACTCAGTCTCTGTGTCCCCTTGTTCGCGTACCACCAGTGTTGATTAGTTTATCCTTGTTTACCCGGTTGATTCCCCTGAGGATTTTGTAGGTTGTGATCATGTCTCCCCTTACTCTTATGTCTTCCAGTGTCGTAAGGTGCATTTCCCGCAGCCTTTCCTCGTAACTCATGCCTCTTAGTTCTGGGACTAGTCTAGTGGCATACCTTTGGTGTGTGTGTGTGTGTGTGTGTGTGTGTGTGTGTGTGTGTGTGTGTGTGTGTGTGTGTGTGTGTGTGTGTGTTGTGTGTGTGTGTGTGTGTGTGTGTGCGTGCGTGTGTGCGTGCGTGTGCGCGTGCGTGCGTGTGTGCACACACAAAAATGTAGATATGATAGAGCCCAGTAGGCTCAGGAATCTGTACACCAGTTGATTGACAGTTGAGAGGCGGGACCAAAGAGCCAAAGCTCAACCCCCGCAAGCACAAATAGGCGAGTACAAATAGGTGAGTACACGTACATGCGTGCACACGTGTTTTATATGCGTGTTCGTGTGTAATTTTATTCAACACAGTTTCAATCCGAAACAAGTAAAGCAAGAATACATTTTATGGCAGAAACTAAAATAAATGTTCAACGTCTGTTTCGTCAATCCCACAAATCAGGGACAAATTATCTGAACATTATGAAGCTCTCTCACTTTGTTAGTCAGGCTTCAATGAACTAATTGCAAAACAGACAATTTTGAATGTTGATTTATGATGGTGATATTCCCCGATTCATAGCAGGATTACAATTTATGTTGGTTGGTTGCTAATTACTGGAGTGCGTGATTAGTATAGACTTTGGCTATTCGTAAGAAATGAGCATTTAATTGTTAATGTATTATATAAATTTAACAAATTTCAGCTGAAAGTTTCCCACTGTTTTACCTCAGCTCTTACAGAAGAGATTGGTTCTGAACGTTCGAAATAATAATCTACAATCATGAGATTTGGTGATTTCCGATTGGAACAAGTTTTGTTCTCAATTTGTATTCACGTGTCTTGTACATATTCACCTTTACAGGTTTCACACACCTATTTATATGCTCACATTTATATATACACAGCTATTACAAATGTTTATAACTGCGTTACAGTCGTCTGTCACCTCCTGTTCAGCTGTTCCTTGCACCTGTCATCATGATCCGTCTCGTACCTCTTGTCCATTTCTGGTATCTGTGTTCACCCAAAGTGTTCATCTTTGGCGCTCAATATTGCTCTCGTATGTTCACTCATAGTATACATCCGTGTTCACCCGTACAGTTTACCTGTGCTCTTTCGTGTTCACCTGTGCTAATATATTCATACTAATATATACTAACGAATACTTCGTTAATTAAAATGGGCAGGTGGTTTTCAGTTAACTGAAACCTCTCACAAATTCACTTCTTCACCTTCAAGGCCTAGTGTGTCCTGTACACGTACCTGGGTTAGCATTTACCTACGATTCGGTGTCTACTTACGAAGCCTCTACATCGTTACAGACTATTTATTAAATAGTTTAGGGGCATGAAAACGCTGTTTCCGCTGGCTCTCGGCTTCGAATCTCAATCTATATTAAAAATGCAAACTATTAGCCGCTACGATTGAGGAAAGATGTACAGATTTCGCAAGTGGACATGAGTGTGCTTGATAAATCCCTTCCCAGGTCTCACTGTTGTCACGAATAATATAAAATTCCAGCAACTCCTCGATTACCAAATCTTCCCGATGTTGGCTCTCAAGTGTCCTCGAGAGCAATAGGTACACGGAAATGATCTCCAAAGAGATTCCAAAACCGATTCAAGGACATCTTCTGCTCTACAAACGTCCCAGAAGTCTTCAAGAATCCAGGCCGTACTTCCCGACATTGGTTCAAGGTTCAGATCTTGAACCACCAGCTCACTGCTTCACAGTAACGATGAGGATTGAACTTTACACACTTTTACCGTGTCGTAGCTCAGTCGATTAAGGCAGTGTCTGGGATGCTCCCGGACGCAGGTTCGAATCCTCGTCACGGCCCTTGTGGATTTGTTCATGAGGATTGAAAGTTTACTTCTCTATTGCGAGCTGTAATTATACAATGTTCGCCCTCCTTGTTGAAGGTCAGTTCCTTCTTGACGCAATATCATATTTTATGCAAGTTACTTAACCAATGTTCATTCTTAGTGGCACTTGTGATATCAGTAGGGGGAGTTTCCTCTTGTTATATAAATAGGTGCTAGTTATATAATTAGGTGCTATAAATATAAATAGGTCTAAATATTAAGAGCCTTGGCGAGGGCTTTTCAGTCTTGCAACAATATTTTATCCTGATCTGGTCACGTGTCCCCTGTACACACGTCTAGCTTGTGTACATGTGCTTACATGCTTCATGTACGCCCATTTCGTGTGTACTTACACTTGTCTGCCACTAGTACTCTCCTGTCAGGTGAATATGAACTTACGTTTAACCTACATTCATATTAGACCTGTCCTTGTGTGCAGGTTTTCTTGTGCTTTCATTCACCCTTCACTCACAATCACCTTGTACTCGAGCACCATATACTCATCAACTCCACTCACAGCCCTCTTTAATTCACCTCCCTTACAAGCTAACCACCCCTCATAACCCGTCACCCTCTATAACCACGACCATGGCACCAACGCCAAATTATAATCCCGTCTGCAGTTATACGCGCTCAATCACCCATGCACATAACTGACCTGTTAACTGCCTCCCACAGATGTTACAGCGCCCTCAACCTGGCGATGAGCGAGGCGGCCTCACACGCCTTCTGCTACCCCAGGGGAAGGCATGCGTCTACCAGGTACCCTTCCCTGCCCTCCACGCCCATGCTAGACCCAGACAATCGTCTCGCCCACGTCCACGACGCCCGCAGGCTCAGGAGGCTCATGGCCGCCAATAGGTGGGAGAGGGTGGGAGGGTATTATGTATGGGAGAATGAATGGGATAATGACTGACATTTAATGGGAGAGAGAAGGATTAGGAGGAATAATCTATTATAGGGATGGGTGTGAATACAAGAGATAATGATTGGGATATGAAAATAAATGGACGAGAGTATAAATGAGAAATAATGGACGACACAATGCGCGGAATAATGTTGGTAGGGAATTGAGACGAGGAGAAACCCGAAAGAGAGAATGGCAGATTAGGTGATGGGAGTAGGAATGAATGGGGCAATGTATTAAAGGAAGGTAGTGAGATAGTGTTATAAAAGACAAGAGAGTTAAGAGACAAAGTGAAATACTGAGTAAGATACTGACCGTGAGAGATTCAGAGTAGTATTATCAAATGTCACATCATTTTGCTGCCGAAATGGAGGCACTGTTTGCTGAAAGACACGTGCCACAGCCTCCTTCCATTGCCAAGGTCATGAGAGCGAGGAAAGTACACCAAGACGAAGTTCCTCGCCGCCTCAATCAACTGACCCTCAAAAAGGTGATGGGGTCATATGAGACCAGTTGGCGCTGCAACCTTGATAAGCCTCCACACAAAATTTGAAGTTGTTCAGTGGAGAGCGATTGCAGACTCAAGCCAAAAATAATAAAACAATTATATAGCACTTTAGTACCATAATCTGCTTCTTTGTAACAGCCATTAAGGTTGTACAAATAGTCTTTCTGCTTCTGATCTCTTCTTAAAGCCCTCCAATATATCATAGTGTTAGATAAATCTTTCAGCTGTGTCCCTGCCCTGGACATCCAGGCTTGAGATGGCATTGAATACGACTGACAAAGCTTCAAACACCATTTTTATATAGTTAAAATGCTACCACCTTCCTGCTCAGACCCCTCAAGTTGGGTTTTAACGAAGGTGAGACTGAATTGCTCTCATGTGGTACCCTCGTTCTACTGGGTAATGTGGGCGCCCCGTGCCCAGAGAAGTCAAAGTTTGCAAGCTGAGGCAATTCATCAATGATGATCAAGCTTCTATTGATGATTGAACTCAAACTTTTACATATACAAGAAGAGAAATGCCGACCCCCTTCTAAGGTCATTAATTACCCTTGCAACCATGACTGGGATAGACAATGGAAGATTCTATTTACTGCTGAGAAAACACTCTTGAGAAGTAGAGAGCATACATAGCTGAAATGAGAATAACGACGAGAAGAAAAAAACAGTCAACTATGAAGAACAACGGTTTAATTCATCAATAACCATGAGGAACATTGAGTTGAACCGAACAAAGGTGGCAGACACACAGACTTGCAGCACTAAGATGCTTCTTAGAAAGTGTCAACGCAAGATGATTCACCAGTATGATACCTTCTTGGGCCCCCTGTCAGTGTTGTCTGAGAAGGCTCTACAAGATAGCTATTTAATTAAGCAGGTTTTACAGTAGTCTTCATCACCGGATGAAGAGGCCCTCAGGCTACTACTCTGAACTTAGAAGACGGCTACAACTACCGCTACTAAATAAGGCTTTTAGTGTCATTGCCACGTTTCTCCAGCTGAGCTTATCACAAGATCATCAGCAATTATTCTTAAGTGCTTTCGCGTCTAGACAATTTCCTCTCTGCAAGACGATGTTCCAGAAATGAACTCTATTGAAGATGAAAATTCTGGCCAACAGACAACTCCCGCATCACATTGATTTTAACCTAATATTAAATAAATTAAGCACCTATTTAAACGCATATATAACAGTTTCTATTGCTTGTCTTATTGAATAAACTGACACAGAAGGAACAATGTTAACTTTCAAATAGCACCATATAGATGATCGCTTCACACCACTCCTACCAAGTCACTAGAATTAGACCAAAACACCACTGATAGAGGAGACAGAAGAGAGACGTAGAAGATAGCTCATATATTCCTTCTGCTAAGAATGGCATTTAAAACATTACGTTAACTAAACACAAAGTCCCACAGAGTATGTAAAGGCTCTGGCACACAGATGGCTCCAGTTTTGACCTATCTAGATTGTAATTCTTAACACTGAATATTATATATAACAAGTCAAATAATTACAAACAATAAGTTAGTTAAACTGGACAGTTTCAAGGCCCAGGCATCCTACGAGTTGATGAAGGTCGATATAGTTCTACTTGATGGATTCATTTAGGATAACCATAATTTATATTAGTGAGAACAGATGGATGAGGAGAAATATTTAAATAAAGGAGAGGAAAAAGAAGGTAAGAGAATTTGAAAAAGAGGGAGAGAAAGGGGAAGAGAATGGCACACAGAGAAAGAGATAAATAATGGAAAGAATTGCAAGAGAATGGGATAAACAGATATGAGAGACAGAGGAAGGAAATAAGGCAGAAGGCAGGAGAGAAGATTCGATGAAATAATCAATAAGGAGAGAAGATAAACAACACAAAGTGAGAAGTAGGGAGAATATAAGATGACATGAGAGAGAGAGAGATGAGGGAGAGTGTGTTAATAGGGACTAAGGGAAAATAAGTAGAGTGGATGGATATTATATTATATATATATATATATATATATATATATATATATATATATATATATTATATATATATTATATATATATATATATATATTATATATATATTATATATATATATATATATATATATATATATATATATATTATATATATATATATATATATAAGAAAGGAAGAATGAAGAGATTGGGAATAAGAGATTATTGGAAGCAATAGGGGAAGTGGAGATAATACATAACAAAATGTTGAAACACACACAGACACACACACAATGCAAAGCGCTCAGGATTCGTAGTCCTAAAGGTCCGGGTTCGATCACCGGCGGATGCGGAAACAAATTGGCAGAGTTTCTTTTACTCTGATGCACCTGGTCACCTATCAGTAAATAGGTACGTGGACAGCTGCTACGGGATGCTTCCTGTGTGTGTGTGTGTGTGTGTGTGTGTGTGTGTGTGTGTGTGTGTGTGTGTGTGAGAGAGAGAACCACGGAATGGAAACATGGCGAAATAGAGAATGAACAGTCATGCAAAGAATGCGAGAAACTTCTTTATAAATCATTTGGAGGTTTACATTGAGTGAAGAAGAAACAGTGTAGTGAGCTGCAACTTTCTGAGTGGCAGAGAGCCGTCGACATTCTCACCCAAGAGATTCTATAATTTATAAGTTAGAAAAACAATCTCTTTTGAAATAGAGTAATCGAAGGTTTTGGAAATCGAGATCTCTCTAAAAATAAAAAAATTGACTCGGTACAAAAATGACCACACTTGGGGTACGTGTGCAGACACTGAACTGAACCTCACCAAGGATACAAAAAGGAAGGGCAGATGAGACATGACCGAGACATAAGAAATATCTAAGAACACAGACGATGTAGACAAAAAATTAACCGATTATTTTGAGTAACAACAGAACAATTTGGCACGAATGGAAATTATAATTAGATGAGCTACTGAGACGAATGTTAACAAAGAAACAAAAAAATTAACCTTTGAGTAGTGAACAAATAGAATGAGTTAGATGAGGAGATAGTCGAGTCTAGCTCTAGCAAAAGTTTCATTAGTGAATCAATAGATCCAAAACATCAAGAAAGTCGGACGTCACTCCACCAGACGACTCAAAGCTAAACAGGCGGGGCCCAGGAACTGGATCCTTTCCCCTGCAGACATTTTTAGGTAAGAACATTTTGATAACGCATAGCAGCAACCGGACCGAAGCAAACTAATGCAAACACGGAAATGCATGGCTGCACCACACTCACTAACGAACCCTTGAAGGTAGACAGACAGACACGCAGAGACATTAAGACAGACAGACATACTCAGGCTGACAAATGTACACACATGTACAACCTAACACAGGCATACGTATGAACCTAAACACCATCAGCAGTGAACAGCTGTATATAGCTACAGACTTCCTGGAGTCAGACACGGACACAGACACAAACCCGCCCAGACACACACAGATGTTCCCGTCTTTCGAGAGTTTCCGTTGACGCACGATCGCGCGCACGCAAAAAAATAAAAAAGCGGCAGCAAATAGATGCAGGACGGCAGACGCACGCACAACCAAAAAGAAGCAGACTTGTCAAATACACCAGCAGACAAACCAGCAAAACACACACAGTCGTATGTACTGACGCATGTCTGAAGAAACGCAAGCGCATGTCTGCACACACATAAACGCACTCGTGTCTGCAAGCACACATGGAGACCAACATAGAAATGGCCTATCACTTGAGGGAAATGCCAATATGAATAAAACTTGTGAATAGTTTCTAAGAACGTGGGTGAAGAATTATTCAGAGACCTCTATGTAAGCTTCTCTATGTCGATCTTTACGTAAAGGAAGACCCTAATCAACCAGGCTGTGAACCTGATCAACCAGGCTGTGAACCTGATCAACCAGGCTGTGAACCTGATCAACCAGGCTGTGAACCTGATCAACCAGGGTGTGATTCATAAGTCAGGCTGCGAGCAGCCGCGTCCAACAGCCAACCGGGAAGCCTGGTCAGAGACCGGGCCGTGGGGCCGTTGATCCCCGGAAGCTACACAAGGTAGACACAAGGTAGGTAGGCGACTAGGACAAGGGATTGGGGGTACATCCGACGTTACTCGGGTGACGGACGCCATATTATATTCAAGATATAATAGATAGTATCTATTATATTCTAGATATAATAGATAGTATCTATCACTGTAACCATCTTGACTTGAAACTTAGAAGGCAGAGGTGAGGGATGTAATGTAGGAGTGGATTACTTAAACACCCAAGTTGTTCCCTAAATGGTCACACCAGGTCACTAAATTCATCAAATTCATCGATGAATTTTGGTGATACATAATAATATTATTGACGCCATGTAGACCAATATTCAGCATTCCACATTTAGAATTTTAGCGAGACACCTCGACAGGAAAGCTCAACACAGAGGAATGAGCACATTTAGTCTGTCTAATATCCCTTGGCCAGAAGAATTTCCTTCACCTTTATTCAGCAAATCAGCTTTACCACACACACTAAACAGCCATCCGGGTTGTTAGAGCGAGCAATTCCCCCCCCCCCCCCTCCCAGATGATAGTTACTATCTGCCGATATAAAAAGATTATTCAAAAAGAAGACAGGAACGAAGGACAGTAACAAATGAAAGAAAGACGGGAACATAATCTGCCGTCCAAAAAAGAGGGACGGGAACTTCTCCAGGCATCTAACACAGCGACAGGGGCTCGAACAGAGCATCCCGTCATGCCTGTCTCACCAAACACAGCCAAGCCTCCCACCACACTGTCTCATGTAGTGGACAGGAGGGTGCAGGGGGTAGGGGTGGAGTTGGGGGGGGGAGAAGAGGCAGGAAATAGACCTTTGACCTTTCTGCATGGTTCAGAAATACGTGTTGTTGAAAGTCATTTCACAGACACCCAAACGAAGTTAAATTAGAGGGGCTACAGACAGACATTTAGCAGTCTAAACGTAAGCGGCCGCAGACAGTCACCGCCGTAGACATACTCAAGGCCGCAGACTAACGCACGGCTACCCGCTGACAGAGCACAATAACGGACAGACGGACGCATGCACAAATTCGAGTATATTTAAGAATCCTTAAGAAGCCATGAATACTTGGAAATTTTATATATAATGTCTTTATTACCCAACAACAATACATAACTCAGACCCCTTCTCTCTGACCCACCCACCCACACACACACCCACCCACACACACACACACACACACACACACACACACACACACCCCCACACACACCCACACACACACACACACACAGATCACTAACCACCTCCGTTCGGTGTCCCAGAGGGGTGTATCGCTCTCTGGAAGGTACCGGCGACTTGTCCAGCTGCTACCGGTACCAGTACCACGCCGCGCAGCTGGAGAACTACCTGAAGGAGTACCGTAACCTACAGAAGCGGCTCTACAGGATGAAGGAGTCCCGGGACCCCGTCCACAGGGGAGGATCATCTTCCAGGTACGCATAAATCTATGACCAAAAACATAGAGGAAAAAAATCCTTCGATCATAAAAATTATGTTTTAAATGTTTTGTTTTTTCCGGTTTTGGATTATTTTTGTTTTATTCTGAATTAATACGGATTTTTTGTTTTTTTAGTTAACGTAAAATTTATATTTAATTTTCGTTAATTAGCCTGAGTTATTATTAGTTATTTAATATTTTTTGGTTTCAAACTTTAAATGTTTGAGAAAGCGAGTAGACTGACAGGCAAGAGGCAACGCAGTTCTTAACAATCTCATTTTAATGTTATTTTCGATAATTTCAAGAATGTTTATCTCGTAAGTATAATGTTTACTAAATGTTACCTTGACTTTACGGGAATTGAAAGAAAGTTCAGAATAATTTACAGATTGTTTAAAAGAATTATGAGGAGTGTTTAACTGAACATTTATTCAAATGTATATAAATTAGATATATATATATATATATATGAATTAGAACTTGCAAAATAAGAAATACAAATAATAAAGCATATAAATACAATAGTCCCCCAACAAATTTAGGAAATCTGCCTTTTGAGAAATGTCAATATTGTAGTCTGAAGGAAAATACTCCTCATGCTAAGCCAGCATTGTATTTTATTGTATTATACATTGCCATATCTGCATTGCATTATACATTATTGGTCTAAGAAACTAATTATACTTTAAGAATGTCCATACTAGGTATAGGTATTTAACCAACACTTGAATTGTAGTTTAAATAACACCATACAGGCGCCTGCTGGTGGACCATCCAGGCGCCTGCTGGTGGACCATCCAGGCGCCTGCTGGTGGACCATCCAGGGGCCTGCTGGTGGACAATCCAGGCGCCTGCTGGTGGACCATCCAGGCGCCTGCTGGTGGACCGTCCAGGCGCCTACTGGTGGACCGTCCAGGCGCCTGCTGGTGGACCGTCCAGGCGCCTGCTGGTGGACCGTCCAGGCGCCTGCTGGTTGACCGTCCAGGCGCCAGCTGGTTGACCGTCCAGGCGCCTGCTGGTGGACCATCCAGGCGCCTGCTGGTGGACCATCCAGGCGCCTGCTGGTGGACCATCCAGGCGCCTGCTGGTGGACCATCCAGGGGCCTGCTGGTGGACCGTCCAGGCGCCTGCTGGTGGACCGTCCAGGCGCCTGCTGGTGGACCGTCCAGGCGCCTGCTGGTGGACCGTCCAGGCGCCTGCTGGTGGACCGTCCAGGCGCCTGCTGGTGGACCGTCCAGGCGCCTGCTGGTGGACCGTCCAGGCGCCTGCTGGTGGACCGTCCAGGCGCCTGCTGGTGGACCGTCCAGGCGCCTGCTGGTGGACCGTCCAGGCGCCTGCTGGTGGACCGTCCAGGCGCCTGCTGGTGGACCGTCCAGGCGCCTGCTGGTGGACCGTCCAGGCGCCTGCTGGTGGACCATCCAGGCGCCTGCTGGTGGACCATCCAGGCACCTGCTGGTGGACCATCCAGGCACCTGCTGGTGGACCATCCAGGCGCCTGCTGGTGGACCATCCAGGCGCCTGCTGGTGGACCATCCAGGCGCCTGCTGGTGGACCATCCAGGCGCCTGCTGGTGGACCATCCAGGCGCCTGCTGGTGGATCATCCAGGCGCCTGCTGGTGGACCATCCAGGCGCCTGCTGGTGGACCATCCAGGCACCTGCTGGTGGACCACCACCACCAGTGGTGGGTGGTTTGTGAGGGTACCACCTCTGGTGCCAATGTGGGGACCCATAGCCTCGGAGAAGAAAATAAAAAGTATTCAGAGGAGACCTTGTGGTTTCTCACTGAACACTAATATTATCTTCTCCTACCACCCCCATTCTTTTGTATGTACACATATATATTTACTTTATTTGAACTTTGTTACGAATATATATATATATATATATATATATATATATATATATATATATATATATATATATATATATATATATATATATATATATATATGTCGTATCTAGTAGCCAGAACGCACTTCTCTGCCTACTATGCAAGTACCGATCTGCCTATTAAGTCAAGTTTTCCTGAATTAATATATTTTTCTCATTTTTTGCTTATGAAATGATAAAGCTATCCATATAATTATGTATGAGTTAAAAAAAATAAATTTGAGTTAAAACTAAAGATATATGACCGAACCTAACCTACCTAACCTAACCTAACCTAACCTAACCTAACCTAACCTACCTAACCTAACCAAGACAATAATTTATGTTCCTAATATAATATAATAATAATATTTCAAATAAACCAATTGGAAATTTGTTTTTGAAAATAATGAAAATCACTGACTATTAGGCGAATCGAGCCTTGCATAGTAGGCCGAGAAGTGCGTTCTGGCTAATAGGTAAGAGATTATATATATAATATATATATATACTATATATATATACTATATATATATATATATATATATATATATATATATATAATATAATATATATATTATATATATATATATGTATGTATATATAACATATAAACATGATTAATAGTTTAGCGAGGGATATCAGCTGGCGACGTAACAGCTCCATGTTTTCTCAGGAACATATTCATTTTCAGCTTTTAATGCTTTCTTTCCTTTCGTTCTCCAGGCTGACAGCTTTCACGGACAGCCTTGACAGTTCTGGAAAAGTTCTGAGTGATCTCGCTGGGAGCCTGTCCCATGACGTCAGCAGTAGTCTGACGCGAGATATCGCCAGTAGTTTCGCTCGCGACATCGCAAGCAGCTTGAACCGGGACATCGCTGGAAGCCTCTCTCGCACCGGTAGCCTGAACCGTGACGTCACCGGCAGCTTGAGTCGCGTTGGCAGCCTCACCCGAGACGTCACGGCAGGCTTGAGCCGCGCCGGCAGCCTCACCCGAGACGTCACGGCCGGCTTGGGCCGCGCTGACAGCCTCACCCGTGACGTCGCCGGTGTCAGTCTGTTCCCAGGCGCTCCTAGCTCCGCCTCGCCTCCCTCTCCGTACCGCGACAGGGAGCTGGGACTGCCTCGCCGCCGCGCCAGGGCCGCTACGGAACCCCTACTGGAAGTAGCGCATCCTGGCGTCCTAGCCCACAGGAAATCCAGTCTGGGCCTCATCTCAGGAGCCACGCTAGGACACTCCGATGCTGTCAGAGAAGTTCTGAAGGGAAGAACTCGAGGCCCCTCAGATTCCGTTATCGACGCTATGCACAGTCGTTCCGTAGCGGAATCCGAATCTATGATAGATGCTATGCAAAGTCGGGCGTTGGGGGGACCGGAGGGTGTGAGAGACGCGATTCAGAGTCGGGGCATGGGTCCCACAGAGAGTATGCTGGGCCCCTCGGGGGATGTTATGGTAGATATGACCTCGGGGGACTCCCTGCGTCCCTCGGAGCCCCTCAGGTCGATCTTAAAGAACCGGTACGAGGGTGGGGGACTTCTCTACCAGGGGAAGTACTCGAACAGTGCCTACTACGACGACGACGACGACGACGAGGGGCCGACCTACAGCCCTGCGGAGTATAAAGACTACCTCGATCACGGCTCCTGAGTTATCTCCTCCTCCTCCTCCTCCACGCTCTAGCTATTATGGATAAACATTAGGAGTAATCTTTTTTATATTTGCCGACTGCTCTTGTTGTCTGTTGTTGTCTGTTGTTGAAGATAGAATGCCTTCTCGAGCCAAAAGCTGTCGTTTTCTAGCCCCTCCCCCTCTCTCTCTCTCCCCCACTACTTCTCCCCAGTTGTGTGTCGTCTGCCTCCCATGGTGCTACGGTGGGACATTGGAGCTCTTTCTCACCTAACTTGTTCTCATTTCCACTTTGATATCACTGAATATACTACCTCTGTTTCTCCTTGTTGGTATTTTATCGTTGCTTCCTTGTAATAATACAACAGAAGGCTGTACTACCATTATACACTAGTGGGTGTAGTGCCATAGTACACCATTGGCTTTTTGGGCCAAAATACAGCCTTCTGTACCTTTATTTAATTTTAATTGATAATAAAAAACGGAAAAAAATTTGAAGGACTTTATTATTTTCAAGTTAATAATTTTATTGAAAAATCCGTCGTTTTATTAAGTGTTGGTTTATTATATATATAAACTACACAGATTAGTATTCATATATAGTAACTCATACTATGAAGTAAAACTATTTGACTGATGAGTTGTGAGGGATTTACTGTCAAAGGTTATTCATTGCTGAGGTTATGTATACGAGGATGAAAGAGGTGAGGCAGCATAGTAAGGTTTTTTACACACACACACACACACACCACACACACACACATACCACACACACACACACATACCACACACACACACACATACCACACACACACACACACATACCACACACACGCACACACATACCACACACACACACATACCACACACACACACATACCACACACACACACACATACCCCACACACACATACCACACACACACACACCACACCCGATGTTCGCGGATAAATTAATGAGAAGACTTGTGACAAACGAGGATTGTAGGATTCTCCAAAGACGAATTAAACAAGCTGCAGAGATGATCAGAAAAATGGATACTGGAGTTCAATACGAGCAAGTGTAAAATTATGGAAATGGTATTAGGTGACAGGAGACTAAAGGATCAGTACACACCGAAGGGAAACTATCTTCTTGTGATGATTCGAGAAAGGGACCTGGGAGTGGTCGTAACACTTCATCTAACTCCTGAGGCACATATAAACCGGATAACGACAGCAGCGTTAAAACGCTAGCAACAGATAGAACGTCATTCAGAAACCTAAATAAGGAGGCATTCAGAGCGTTTTACACTGCCTGCGTGAGACCAGTCTTAGAGTATGCAGCCCCATCATGGAGCCCCCGCCAAAAGAAACACACAGGGAAACTGGAAAATGTTCTGAAATTTGCGACGAGGCTAGTACTGGAGTTGCATGGGATGGGGTATGAAGAGCGACTGAAGGAACTGAACCTGACGGCGTTAGAAAAGAAAGGCAGCGACGAGATATGATAGCAGCATACAAAATACTTAGGGGGATTGACAGTGCAAATTGACAAAGTTCACACGGAATACCAACAGAACGAGGGGACATGGATGGAAGCTGGAAACTCATCTGAGTCACAGAGATGCTAGAAAGTTTTCTTTTAGCGTGAGAGTAGTGGGGAAATGGGATGAACTAAAGGAGCCCATTGTGGAAGTAAAATCTATTCATAGTTGTAAAACTTGGTATGATAGAGAACGAGGACAGGAGTCATTGCTTTAAAGAACCAAAGGCTAGAAAGGCGGGATCCAAGAGCCAACGCTCGATCCTGTAGGCTGAAATAGGTGAGCAGACAGACACAGACACAGACACACACACACACACACACACGTCAATTACCGGATATTACACGTTTCTGGAAGATGATGCTTCACTGAAGATTAAATCCTTAAAGTTAATTCCCGTTTTTGACCATCCAGTCATAGAATTAGATTCTTTGGTTTGTGTGAATACTTTTGCTAAAGGAATCAACAACTATTACCACCACAGAAAGAGAGGAATCATCAACTATTACAACCACAGAGAGAGTGGAATCATCAACTATACCTCCACAGAAAGTGGAATCATTACACTACTCATCAGAAACTCATTTGTTTAGCCTCTGTCATATGACCAAAGAATTTTCCATGACAGAACAACGTGATGCGGAAGTGGGGTTGGATGCTGGAGACTAGCATCTCTAGCGTGAAATGCTTCTGTCACATAGCAAGAGTATACACACGGAGAGATACATAGGGAGACAATATACACCAGACACACATACCGAAGCCGCCAATAGGAGGCTTATACACTTAGTATATACACCATTGTGACACACAGTACAGCCAATTAAGGGTTTCATACAAGATACATATGCGTACTCGCGATGTGTTCAGTTATGCAATATAAAATTTCCCATTCGCCAAGGGATATATAGCGAGGCCACATAAGGGGCCACATAGGAGTTATATATATATATATATATATATATATATATATATATATATATATTATATATATATATATATATATGTCGTACCTAGTAGCCAGAACGCACTTCTCAGCCTACTATGCAAGGTTCGATTTGCCTAATAAGCCAAGTTTTCCTGAATTAATATATTTTCTCTAATTTTTTTCTTATGAAACGATAAAGCTACCCATTTCATTATGTACGAGGTCAATTTTTTTATTGGAGTTAAAATTAACGTAGATATACGACCGAACCTAACCAACCCTACCTAACCTAACCTATCCTATCTTTATAGGTTAGGTTAGGTAGCCGAAAAAGTCAGGTTAGGTTAGGTAGTCGAAAAAATATTAATTCATGAAAACTTGGCTTATTAGGGAAATCGAACCTTGCATAGTAGGCTGAGAAGTGCGTTCTGGCTACTAGGTACGACATAATATATATAATATATATATATATATATATATATATATATATATATATATATATAAATATATATATATATATATATATATATATATATATATATATATATATATATATATATATATATATATATATTATATATATATATATATATATATATATATATATATATATATATATAAGTGATATATAGTGTGTCAAAGCGAAGATTCTTGCGCTCGCACGCGCAAGCACGCGCAAGCAAGCACACACACACACACACACACACACACCCACCGATAGACCAGACGGCAAGGCACACATACGTACGTGTGGACATACAGTCTTCCAAAAAGGTTCTTGACAATTCTTAGCGGTCCAGGAATGTGGATTTCCCCTGACCGGGTCGTAGGTAGGTTTGATGTTGACGCTGCTTGCTGAGTGATAGTTCCATGTTCCACTAAGTGAAATAGTGCTCCGGTATGTAGAACAATGCTCCGGTAATGTGGAACAGGGCTCCGGTATGCATGTGTTGCTCGGTATACGAGATTGGTTCAGATTCCTGGCGAAAGGATTCCCTATATGTGTGTATTGTTTTGTTCAGCTCCAATGTTGGTTCATAGTCTCGTTACGTGGTCATCACAGCCACGGTGTGTAGACTCGGCGTCTTGCAATAAAGGGGGTTTCTGTGCGAGTCCAGTTATCAGGTTTAAATACCGATGGTAAATTGCAATAACGTAGTTGACATTTTAGACACCCAAACCTCGCATTTGAACCTACAGAAAGTGGCCACGTTTCGGTCCTTCCTGCACCATTATCGTGTATAGAACGCGTGGCAGAGGAAGTCAAAATGTAACTAAAGAATGCAAAAGGTGAAAGGCGAGGAGGATGAGTCGAGTTGAAGTCTACCATAAAATGTGTGGTGAAAGAAAATGGCTGAAGGCCTACTGATGCAACTGAAATGAGATAGGAACATTTAGGAAAGAAATGAGAGCATAAAGGGCGGATTAACCTATGTAATGAGAAAGCCAGCAGACAAGAACAACAGAGTCAAGACAAAGGTTCGTATCAGATCTGGATCTGTACCAGAACCCATTCGACAAGACGGCGTCTATCAAGAGCACCAGAGACCGGAAAGAATATTTTAAAACGAAGCCCAATCATTAGGATGATTAAAGTGGCCTATAAACACCACTGATGAAAGCATTGCTCTTGCCTGCTGACTTAACCCATCTTTCGTGTTCGATTTGACCCTTATTAAAATCTACGGCCAGTATCATTAGGTATTAAGAGAGGACGAGAGAACTGGGCTGTTGTTGCTGTTAAATCATGCCTCTCTCTGTACATATATCTGGCCTCTATAAGCTCGCGTTCTCTCTCTCTCTCATTTCTTTCTCGTGTGTTGCTTTTTCATTTATTTCAGTTTCACCGTTAGGCCCTCTGCAGTTTTCTGTTCCTTAATCCTATTAACTCCATTAATATATCTCACCTCACATTCTATGGCATACATCCTCGCCTTTGACCAAACATTCTTACCAAATATGTTGAATTTCTTTACCATTATTTCTTCACACGTCTTGAGAATGGTCCAGGATGGTCCGAGATAACGCTTCCTTCAGGTGAGTGGGTTGGGCGTTGACAAAAGTTCAAATGTCAGGATGGGCGGGGTTGGGTCAGCGGTCCTCGCTGAACGTGGGTTCAAAAGCCTCCGGTAAGTGGTGCGGTTCACTGGTACAGTGGTATAGGTTCCTAGGTCCAAGCATGTGCGTATAGTGGTTCGCTGTAAGGATTCAATAGTATTAAAAATGAGTGGTTCAAGCATGAAGTCCCAGTAACCAGTATATATATTTATATATATGATAGCTTATCTAGCTAATTATGAAGATTGTTTTCAGTATGTGAACTTTCACGCTTGACGGATTTCACCGTTGTTGGGTAACGCATCGGTTGGATCTCACCCACTGTTGAATTTCCTTTTTCCTTCAAAGTCTTACAGTCTTCTGATCTCTGATGATCTAAGTCTTATATTTTTTGTCCGTTTGTCCACTTTTGTTTACTGACTTATGTTACCTGCACACTATTTCCGGCTCCTTTCTCCACCATACTCTATACTCACTAATACTAGGAAGCAGTCTCCACTCCATTTGACATTCTGTAGTCTAATTAAGCCCTACATATCAGCATTGCAGCATCTTTAATGTTATGATAATTATAAGAATGTCGATAGAAATAAAAATAAAAACTGAGTGGTTATTTAAAAAGGCGCAGATTACATTTCTCTCTTACCTACCATGGATCATATATTTTGTAAGTTTAACTGTAGGGACTACCTTAGTGGCTTTCATTAGGGTTATACTGCCATAGGAATCCTTCGATAAGTTTTTGGGTATAGACTTGTGGCCGCTCGTGAACTTGGAGCCGGCTGAGGAAAGTCCTGTCTCCGGCTTTTCCCTTTGAAAAAAAGGGAAGGAGACTTCAATCTTCTGCAATCTTCCTGCTTTGGCAAGCTGGCAGCCAAAGTGGGTTGACGGAGATATACATATATATATATAATTTTTTTCACCTGTGGGGGGGACTTTGTTTTCCCCAGTGTGTCATTTTTTTGTCCACAGTGCCAGATCAACGCAGGTGTTAACGCATCACTGCCACTGAGTGAGTTAGAGATGTGATCTGACTTTTGTAAATATCGTTCAGTGTAATTTATGTCTCGTGCTGGCTAATCTCGAGCCCACGACTTTCTCTCTCTCTCAATATGTATACATTCTCTCACACTCACTCACTCACTCTCTCTCTCTCAATATGTATACATTCTCTCACACTCACTCACTCACTCTCTCTCTCTCTGAATCTTCCAGTCTTCCGTAGTTGCATCGTTGTCTTCCCAAGTCTTACTTTCATGAGTAGATAGAGATACCACTGTGTGTGGTT